TCTTCTACCAGTCCTTCATTACCTTAAACGAAATTTGGTGAGTACATCTCATATTACTGATTTACTGATAGTCACGAAAACAATACTTAATTCAAAAAATGAATAAATACAATTGGCGTGTTCACATGACATTTTTTGTGTCTTTATAAGTAGGTTTTTGAGACTACTAGTAAATCTCAAATAAGAGCTATATTCGTTAAAGGTGCTGAAGGACTTGTAGTTGAATTTTGCTGCAATAGTTTAGATATTGCGAAAATCTTGACAAACTAAATAACGGATATGAAGAGAAGATGGATTTTGAAGAATCCCCTAATATATTAATACTCAAATACCTTTGATTTCGCTTCAAAAGATGGATGACTGACAAAAGCTTAAGGCATATCCATCTGGGTCGAAGGACAATGAGCTGAGATCTTCTTCACGCAATCCGGCAGTCATACGTCCAAGCCAATCCTCCTTTAGTATCCGATGCGGTCAATTTACAAATTCCTTCCATACGCCAGTTAAAACGAGATGAAAGGTATGCAAACATAAACAGAGTGACAACTCCCTGCACGGACCTCGGTTTGAAATGTATAAGTGCCGCTTGCTCATTCCTAATGGCCTTCTATGCCTTCATTTCTCTTAGCCTGTCTCCACCTAACCAAAGGGTTTTCATCAGGTTTTCGGAGGCCAGATCTCTGGCAACGGGAAAGACGATATTGTCGATCAGTCGCTCGATCCAGCGACGCGACGGCGGAAGAAGCAAGCTTTGGGTTTTTGAGAGGTACTTGCTAAGAATAAATGCTTAGCTAAAAATGGATTAAAAATAGCAATTTAAGTGGGATAGTTGCTGTGTCCGTCTGTTCAGTTCTTATTCTAAATTAGGCTTGTGGAAGCGAGGCGCTTCACATTATCTTACCAGGTGCAAAGCCATTATCATATTTAGCCAAAAGTCTCCTATCCTTAGTATATTAGAGCTAGCTACTGCAGCCTCAGTTCAAAGAGTCCTGTCAAGTTTATTTTTCAATTCGCTAGTTTTCAAACTCTATCTGAGCTTTTTCTGTAAAGATTTGAATCGAAGCGTAAAAAGGATACTTGTCCCTTATTTAAACGAAAACAGTTAGAACCCAAAGGAAAATTGCTTTGCAGTTTTTTTCTGATGGTTATGGTTCGAATTCTGGCTCGGGCCCGAATGAGAGCTCTTAAAATGTATGAAGTCATGAACTTCAATGTAAGTAGAATATCAAGACTTCTTGGCAGTGAATAATTCTACTACTTAAGCTCAGTCCAATGAACTTAGAAACCAGCTATATTTCATTCACACCCAACTATCGTTGCATGTAACACCATATGATATATTTTGGAACTTGTCAAAGTTTAAATTGGCATAGTCATAGAGGAGGATTAAAAAAAGTAATTAAGTACAAAGATGCAAAGGCAGGATTGTCTAAAGAGAAACCATCTTTCTCGTCATTGTTCTGATCTTCCCCACGTAGAGAACATTACTGGAGAAGGACCAAGAACACCGTTAAACCCAGGAGTGGTGGCTTAGGTAGCTTCTCTATGTTAAAGGACGAATAGATCTCCCAGGCACTGAGTTAGCCACGACCAAATTAACTTATTAACAATCTTCTAATTGAGTCCAGCTGTTGATTAATCTAACCACACCTCTCACTGCTCCGGTCCTTCATTCGCATGAGCCATGTTCTCTTACCTTTCCCTCTATCATTTTTCTATATTATAGCAGTACAGAAGCCTTGGCAGACTGGCCTTACTCTGGACTCTTAGTGTGGCTAAAAGGTTTACGAAGCATTGATAGTATTAGACAATAACTGAATCACTCTGATAGCGACAATGATTCAGTTTTATTAGTGATGCGTATCTTTCGATACTATCTGGAGATCTTGAATAAAAACAGCATTCATCCAGATTCGCATATGGTGCTGAAGGGCTGTTAGATGAATTGCCCACAATGAAATTAGTGGACCTCAAGATGCCAATGACGTTCGCTGAGCCCTGTCTACATAAGGTTCTCTATCCGGGGAGGACTGCAGTTTAAATCCCACCCAGTTTACATCAGTCCCTAGAACGGGATTCCAAACCGAGTTTTTCGCGTAGCGTGATGGCAAGCTAATTCCACACCACAGCCATGGGCGCTAGTGGACTAAGGACAAAGGTGACTTTTAAGTCAAGCCAGCTTTCTCATATACCGATAAAGCGAATTTACATTTGCCATTACAATCGACTACATCACTGATATTCCTATTATATTTCGATACTAGTATAGGAGTTTCATTTAATCTAGGTCAAATTATGTGATGAAGAACTGATGGTTTAATTATTCCACAGTGTAGAAAGTAGTCCTTTGGTTAAGCTATTAATACCAAAATAAGCTCGTTCATATGGAAGCCCAATATTGATAGGGCTGGAGCACAAACTACGCACAGATACTGGTCTTTCATGAGCTTTGATAATGCTTTAAGAAGTAGATCAGAGGAAAGATCAGCACGTGTTTCAGTTTAGATGTGTACACGATTTAGGATACTGCACACAGAAGTTTGTCCAATCATAAATATTCCGTTTCTAACGTCAGGATAAGCCAAGTTCAGAGGTTGGATCGCGAAAATGTGATCCCTTGTTTAGCAATGTTGCCTAGTCTGATGTGCCCAGAAAGTGGCATGCAAGCGACATGAATGCACATACATGTAAATACGCATTTATAATTGTGGGTCATCTTCGCGTCTCTTTTTAAATTCGCATGGTCGCTGCAAAAGCTGAATACATGGGAGATTTAAATGCCAGGCAGACTAAATCGGCGTCCATTTTGGTGACCTTAGGCTATTACCATGGTGCAGAAAACAGGACTCATAGGCCTTATGTATTCTTTGATAGAATCTTGGACGAAGTTCGGGCAATATTAGGCAGGAGCATAAAAAGAAGGGTCGGGCTTTATGTAGCTCCCAGTCTCAATTAATCGGCACATTTGGCTAAAACTATACTATATGTTTGGTGCCAATGTTGAGGACGCCGGAGGTATGCGGTTTCTTGGACCTGAGATAAAGTCCCGGCTCAATGCTAGCCTGTTATGCTTCAAGTTCGCTTATCCCCCAGTATCCTTTTCTCGATGGAGGTACCCCAGTACTGTTGATATAAATTATGTTTGTTCGGCAAACCTAAGGAACAAGGGTAGTGGTCACTCCGCTGTAAACATGTCCGTCTCTCGTCCCGAGTATCATGGATTCAAGTCTCTATGACGTTTCAACATGAACTAATCTACTCTGAGATGGGAGCCAATTTTGCGGGCGCGTGACAATTAAATTCCATGAAAAAGTTCTCTCAGACACTAAAGCATTCCCAAAGATCGTAATTCATATAATGTAAGCATGGTTATGTAAAACATATCTGCAGCAGTAACGTTGGAACGACAAAAGATGAATTGAGCGTTTCTGGGTTTCCCATCAGCCTGATACAGCACATAATACTTTCTCATATTTGAGAAATAATTGTTTAAGAAGTTGTATAGTTGTGAAATAACATAACGAATTTTTTTACTTTTACTTTTGCATGAAATGAATTTCAGCCCAGCAAGGGAGTAGGGAAAGGCTAACTTGATGCAAAATAGCATTATCGCCATTTGAGCTTGCCTTTTTTCCCATCTAACCAACACTTTGGGCAACCTATGCAAAACACTGACAAGCATTCTTATATTGTGCCCGAATATGCGAATAGAGCAACATGCTTTTTGGTAGATGCTAAAGAAGGGGAGGGGAAATGGGTGGCTTGGTTGCTTCTGCTGGTAGTATTAGTTAAATGCTGAGTGTTCAGCATGCTTTATTCTGTATAGTGACTCTGCTCTACTGCTCTTGCCACAAGCAAGAGCTTACTCCTAAGCTCACACTGGGCTAACAGCTGACAAATAAACTGCTTGGCAATTAGGACTTAAACAAAAGGACCACTTTTAAAAACTGGAGTCAACTAAGTTTATTTAGAATGATAGTTGAATAGAAGGCTCTACAATGTCACTCACTTAGTCTTGCCATCCACAAGGCTTTTTCATCCAGACTGGACGAAAGATTCGATCCCGTGCGGGACTCATCAGCACCTTTGAAGGGATTCGAAGCCGCGTTTTCCGCGTCAAGCGGCAACGCTACCACTACACACCACTGCCACAGGCGCCCGTGGGCCACAGAACAAAATTGACTTTCAAGGCTTATACTAATTCACAGATTAAGGCGGGAATAGTGTGGATAAGGCAAGCTTGAATCTCCCATTGCAGTTGAGATTTGTACTATATAAAGCTAAAGTAGATTTTTGAATGGGCAGTAAGGCACTTACAAGAACAAGGTCACTTTCATACTCCTTCAAATAGAAAATTTATGCACTCGAAGGGTTTCTTCAAGAAAGTAGCATATATGTTGGCATTAAATGTGCTGAGTCCTGAAAAATTATTGAAAACTAAACTAGCATTACATCCTGAGAGTGAGTCGGTTCACCTGGGGTCCATGGAATTCCACAATCTATCCTCACTTACGTCGAAATGTCTGGGTGTTCTGAGAGCCTCTATGCTAACTAAGAAAAATAGGTAGTTGCTTGACCTTGTTTTCGCAACTTAGTCATATTGGTAGGAAGACTTAGAGGAACACACCTAGTCCGGAGTCCACTGTATGCATGATCATTTCCAGAGTAGGACCGTGGACGTGTTACATTCCCAGACGTTTCGCCGGCATCGTTAGTGAGTCTTGCCATTCTTAGCACCATACTACAACTCGTCGATGCCGGCGAAACGTCTGGAAATGTACCACGTCCACGGTCCTACTCTGGAAATGATCATGCATACAAT